CTATGAAATAAAAATATTTACAAAATATAAATTACTGGTTTGTGTAAAAAGTTTTTGGTTACAACTATTATTATGTGTTGTTGTGTGTTATTGAGGAGATTCTAACATCAAATTACAACTTCCACATAGGGTTTCCTTGTATTGTAAACTTTACTGAAAATTTCTGCTTCATATCTCTCCTGCAGCACAGATAATTGTATCAAAACTAATTACTGTTTTCACTTCTTGTTGTTAGTAGTCACCGAGTTGTTCCAACCCAGAGTTTATATGAACAAAAGAATGAAATACTGTCTGGTCCTATGATTATTCACAATTGCTATGTTAGAGCACATTGTTATAGCAACTGTGACAATCCATTGCATTGAGGAGTTTCCCCTTTTCCACTAATCTTCCAGTTAACCAATCATTATACACTGTTTCATAGGCTAGTCCTTCCTGATAACAAATCCAAAGTACAGGAGATTCAGTATCATCATCCTCACTGCTAAGGAACATTCTGGCTGTGTTTCCTCTAAGATAGATTTGATTGTTACTCTGCAAATCCATTGCAATTTTAGTATTCTTTGCCAACACCATAATTCAAATGTATCAGTTATTCGCCAGTCTTCCTTATCCATTGTCCAACTTTCACATGCATATGTTGTTGTCTTTAGGTGATGACATGATTGTTCAAACTTATATAGACATAGTACAATTTAAGTTAACATTGGTACCTACACCTCCTCACACCTGTTGCTATTCTTGAGCCCAGTTTTGTTGGCATTGTATCAATTCATCTCATATAAGGTCTTCCTCTATTTTGCTGATCCTCTACTTTACCAAAAATAATGCTTTTCTCCTGGAAATGGTCCTTCCTGACAACATGTCCAATGAATGAGAGACGAAGCGTCACCATTGTTGCTCCAAGGAGAAATCTGGCCATACATCTTCCTAAACAGATTTGTTTGTTCTTCAGACTATCTGTAGTATAGTGAATATTCTTTGCCAACACTATAGTTCAAATTCATCTATTCTTTTCCCATCTGCCTTAATCACTGCCCTGGTTTATATGTATATATTGTTGTTGTTGTTGTTGTTAAGTGCCATCGAGTCGGGTCCGACCCATAGCGACCCTGTACAGGGTTTCCGAGGGTGTAAATCTTT